TCCAAAGTTTAAATCGAGGCAGCAGCATCAGGTTGGTAGTCCAAGCCATTGTTGTCTATCTGTACTTCCGGGGCTCCTCCCACCGGAGCCTCGCTGTCAATTTCAAAATGGCGGCTGCATGAAATCAGCGAATAGGAGCGGAGTGGACCAACATTCCACAGGCCACAATCAACAAAGTTTTTATTTTTTGGGGAGTAAAACAAAAGGTAATAAGGTTTTTAATTGTTAAAAATAATTCACACCCATAGGAGAGTGTGTCGTCTAGGTATTGCCCCCTGCTCTCAGAAGGTGTTATCTCAACGCAAATTCCCACTGCTTGCAAATGGTTTCATGTAAATCAACTTCTGCCCCCAGTAAGTCTGGAAGGGGGAATACAGTGAATTTCCACTGTAAACCCATGTTTACATATGAAATGAGATCTGTCTAATGAAATGCAACTAGAGATCAGGGCCTTTTTTCTGTACTTCAGATGAGCCTGTGATGCTGAGAGAGGCAGAGTCTCAGCTTCATGTATTTCTTAAAGGTCGGTTTCGTCTTCTCTTTATTCCAGAGAATTTTATGATTTGTATTGATTATCTTTAAACTGGTTTTGAAATTGGAATGATACATTTACCTGACGTAATAAACTCTTACATTTGATTATTCTAACCAAATTTGATATTGTTTCATTAGAGTTAAAAGGAATAATCAAACTTTCGCTTATATTTAATGATGCACAGATATCATTAAAAAACCTTTTAAACCTTCAAAAACCTGAGTCAGATGAAATTATGAGAGAATACATATGAGAAATATAGGCCTATTGCATTGAATCAAAACTACTTTGCCACGAGAAAAGACAACACGTAGAGACCTTCATGGATTTGGGCTGATATACACCTTATTCACAGCAGCACCATCTTTGATTTTTAATGAGAATGAAAGCGAGGCTGTGAGGGATAGACTTGGATTTCTTCAATGGGCTGTATGTGTTTTCGGATTGTTCTGCTCATGAAACACTGGAAAGACATCTTTCAAAGAAATGTCAGTTGACAAAAAACTCCCGACAATGTAAGCTGTGGAAAATTGTAAGTAATCTAGCCGCTTTATTCAGCTTTTTACAGTGGATGCCATTGGAAACACGGTAAGTCCTCACAGCCTCATTTTCATACCTGTCATGGCGCTGCTCTGAATATGGTCTATAGGCGGGCTTTACACTGTCTAATCAGCATCTTGATATGCCACACCTGTGAGGTGGATGGATTATCTCGACAAAGGAGACAGAATAAATAATATAACTAAATAAATCAGTCACTAACGCAGATTTAGACAGATTTGTGAACAATATTTGAGAGAAATAGGCCTTCTGTGTACATAGAAAGTTCAGCTCATGAAAAATGGGGTCAAAAATAAGTGTTGCATTTATAATTTTGTTTAGCATATATATATATATATGAAGAGTTCAGATGCAAAAGCCTCTAAGTGCCATTTGAAATTTTCTTCTAGAATGATCATTTTTATCAAGCTTGTATATTTAAGTTCAGTGATTTCACTTAAATGGCAATGATAATTACCTATTTATTGTTATTTAAGTGAAATTACTGAACTTAAATATACAAGATTGATAAAAATCATCATTAAAGAAGAAAATTTCAAATGGCATTTAGAGGCTTTTGCATCTGAACTCTTCATATATACATATATATATATATATAATATATATATATATATATATATATATATATATATATATATATATATATGAGTGGACTGGCAGTTTGTGCCCCTTAGCACTCTAAATTAATTTAACACAAATCCAATATATGCTATGAGGAGGTGATGAACACCAATGTTTTAGGCATTAATGAGGATTATTTTGATAGGAAGTACAGATGAGGTTACATTAATGTTCATTCGTAGAAGGTGTGCCAATGAATTAATGGAAAGAGTCCCTTTCATGCATTATGTGTTTCATTAGGGAAATGAACTGAAAGATACTTTTTCCACATTCTGGGGGTTGTCCACAGAACTCTAACACATAGTTAGCTTTTTGGGCGAGGGAGTTTGGTCTATTATTTATTAATTGTGTTTTTGATAGGTCCGGGCACTACACTACATTGATTATATGGAATAAAAGTCAACAGAATCATTGATGCTTGACGAATTTGTTTGGGAGGAATAGCTTTATAATTAGAAGCATACAACTAATCAGGAAGGGCTCGAGTTAAAATATCACTTAAAAAAAATATCACTTAAAAAGCAATCAAATGCGTTAGTATTTAAATATGAGCGTGAGGTGAGTCTTGCATATCAGTGCGTGTGCTTGAGATGGATGTCCCACAAACTGCCAAATGCATTCATAACAGAAAAACCTAAAATGAGCTCCTGTAGAGGACTTCATGTCTTACACACACACACACACACACACACGCATGTTGGGTTTCCATGTTTTATGGGTAATACAGACACAAGGATTGAAAAGCAGAAAGTGCAACTATTACTTAAAAAATAAAAATAAACCAACACTTTCACACATTACATGTGACTATGCCTGACAGACCTTGCAAAAAAATTGAATTAAAATAGCTTTTTATTCTATTTAAGTTAACAGAGCACGTAGGTGGTATGTCTTCTACTCTGTCCTTGAAATGGCAATTTACTGTCTTTGCCGAATTTTTAAAACCTTAACATCTCACTTTTTCGTTTACACTTCACCATTAGCAGAACATTAGGCAGGGGTGAAAAACAGCTACTGCAACAGGGAAATCAGTGTTTTTATTTAGACAAGAGCATTAGAAGAGAACATCATTCACTCTGCTTTCCACAAGAGCTAGATATGAGTCTCCTGGCAAGATAATGCGTCACTCTTTTCTCCATCTTTATTCCTCTCTTTCAAACACAAAAGACAGAAACAGGGCTCATTCACAGTGCATGTGGTTGAGGTGCTAAATACGCAAAATCCTCTTTACACATTTTGTACTGAGACCGCTTCTCGATTCGTTTATCGTCAACCATTTGGTGCCTCCAAATATTATTCATTTATTTCTGAGTGTCACAACCATATAATTAATCTATTGGATCATTATTATCAGTGCATGGAAGTTAATTATACTTCCTATAATGCTAAATACATTATAATTCAGCAGCACTTCCATTAGTGCATAATTACAGTGCCATGAGCAAAACTAGTCGATGGTAAAAGCTAATTCTCAAAAGCAATCGTCTCTCATTGACCCAAAAGCTTCATATCCTGTTCACAGTACAATAAAGAAAAGGAACAGAATTATTTGGGAGATGCTGAAATATCTGGATGGGAATGCATTTGGTCAACTGCATGACTGACACCACATAAAACACACAAATGACAGGCACATTTTGACTAGTACATTTAAATTGGAATTTAACAGGTCAATGTAGCACTTTATCCAAAGCAGCCAAAGTCGAGACAACACCTCAGAGTTGTTACAGACACCAGCAGGTAGGAATATTTTATTTTACAGTACTTTTGTATTTTTATATTTGAAGAGCTCTTTTCCAAAACGCTATAAATCCATTTCAATAGTTTTCAGGAAAACTACATTATTTTACCTAGACCCACACATTTTGTGAATATTCAAATTATCCTGTTTAAATGTTTTATTGGTTCAGTCTGAACATTTTGAACAATAATTATTAAATCAAACAACAATATTGTTAATGATAATTTAAAAGTTAATTTTATTTTTTTCCAAAACGCTATAAATCCATCCATTTTTTGTATCATTTTTAGTAAAGTCATTTTTAGTAAAGAGTCAAACCTCAAACAAATAGTACCAATTTCAACATATGCATGAAAAAAAAAAACGAATTATTAAAAATGATCAATATATGATAACGATATTCAAAAAAGGGATGGGCACCCCACCAGCACGCACACACACACAGGCTACATAACATGTGAGCAAAGCAGAGCAGCATGATGCTTAAATATAAGTTTAAAAAAACAAAAAACAAAATAAACATAAAAAATACGTTTCACATTTGTTTTTAATAATATTACATTACTTATTTTTATTATTTCATCTATGTTGAGTAGGCTATGAAAAGGGAACCGCATGAGATGAGTAAGATAGGATCAAAATTCAAAAGCTGCCCAATATCGGAAAATATTTGGAGTGCGTCAGACATGATTTTGACCACTTATTAAGTTTTGTTTTGTAAAAAGCTTGTAAATTTCGTTTCATATAAATTGTATCTTCATTTTAATAAATGTTAAATCGACAAATTGACTGGATTAATACATTAGAAGTAAATATCAGACAATATAATCAGGACACAGAGGCGCGCAGGTGAACCGGAGCGCGTCTCATAATATGAACCGAAACACCGCGATGCTTGCCTCACACAGGCCTGAGAACTAAGCTACAGAAAGCTTTAAATATCTACTTTTAAACAGAACAATTAAAAACTAAAATAAATTGGCAACTCTCTGCGTATGTAGGCTAATTCGAAGTATGCGTTTCTATAGGCTTATGCGCGTTCACTGCGAAGATGGCGAGTAAGCATCATCAACTTTATCTTTGTTGCTGACACTGACAGAAAACACTAGTTTATTAATAAACAATTCAAATGTTTCATGCATAATCATTACTTTTGCCGGTTCTTTGTGGCAAGCTTTATGCATACGTTGAAATGCGGAATAGGCAATTAAAAACGCTCATATGGTTTCTCTCCCATTTAATTAAATCAATATATGTGATTACTGATAATACAAATGGCTTAAATGATCTACTACTAGTCGACTAGAAAACTAGGACTCATTTTGAGGAATAAATGAACATAATATACCTCTGTTCATAGTGCCGCCGTGCTGGATTGTGTAGAGCGCTCATTGAATTTGAGGATTTATCGTGTTTAGGCTAAAAACAGGGCTGGCGCTTATCGCGGCTGGGAAAGAAACTGTATCTTGCAGTACATTTTAAACAAGGAAATATAGCGATTTGGCATGAAACGTTGATGGAGCAGTGAAAGGGTTCTGTCCACAGCAGAATGACACGACAAACTCGTTTTTAAAAAAAATGGCGTTTATCGTGTTTTGGAAAAGAGCTCTTCATTTATGAAGCAACATTTCCTATCGGAAAAATGTCCATGATTTCAAGACTCAATCAGTTGTTTTGCAATTGAACACTGACCTTGGATAAATATATATTAAATAATAATAATAATAGCTGGAATATATTTAAAAGTTAAGACTCAACATCTAAAAAAAAGTGCACATATTTTAAATGTTTATGTTTCAATGTCTGCTCAGAAGCTCAGGAAAAACAAAAACAAAAAAATAAACATCAAAAACACCACTACCACATAATTACACATTGGAATCACAAATTCTAAGCACGTCACAGTCACGAACAGAACAGTTGGGGGGAAATATTTCCCTTGGGGAAAAACAAGGTTGATGAAGGTGAGGCACCTGACATGAGGGCATCCGTCTCTTTTGTGGGAGATTTGAAACACAGCATTGTAAACTGCACAGTGGAGGAATGAAAAATGAAGGCCTTACCCCCGCCCCCCTCCCCTTTCTATAGTTTGCGTTTAGAGAATTAGTTGTGGTAGGCAGAGGGAGGAATGACACTGACTGATGGATGGAATAACCCAATGTATACAACTATACTAACAAAGAAAGACATAAAATCCCAGTGTGGTGATGAAGAGAATAAACAGAGATACAGTAGGCTGGTATTTGCCCAGTTTAGAGAGCTTGAGATTTCACATGTAATTATGTTATCCTTCGATTGTCTTTAGTCTGCTGATGGATTCCAAAGGAAAATCAGTGGAACAGCCATTGTGATGGTCCTGATTCATTAAGCACTCAAAAAGGCTTAGCCGAGCACAACATAGTAGATTATTAGTCAAAATCATTGTTTTATTTGCTTAGTTCAGGAAAACTGAAGTCTTTAGAAAGGTCCCAAGTGAGGAGTGGAGGAAGAGAGAGGTTTTATGTTGGAAAACAGTGCACTTGGTAGTATTGGTCATGTATTGTTGAGGTAAAGTCTTCAAGACCTTAAAGGATGGCTTGTGTGAACACGAAATGGTAACGAGATGGTTTAAAGAACGAGGGACGGTTTCAGAGAATGGGAAATTGGAAAATAGGGATACTAAACTAACTTAAGGCAAGAGGTTGAATTTTTTTCAGGTGGACATTTTATGAAGAGCCAAGGTCTCTGTGATCAGGAGCTCATTGCTGATGTTATCTCAGTCCTTTTGGAGACCCACTAGAGCACAGCTTTCTTTCCACAACTTGGTTTGCAGCCGTTCATCATAGGAGAGCGCTGAAGACTCCGTCTTACGACCGTTGTACAGATACAGTCCTCCGATCCCCTCGAGCTCAGAGGCAGCTGCAGCGTAGATAGCTGTGGATGCTCCTTCTGCAGGCGTCTGTGGATGGACAGGAATCAGAGATCAAGACACACACACCGCTGTGGGCACGTTAAGAATATTTAAACAGCGATGGATACGAAATATCAAAGAAGGACAGAAAATCCTGGAACAAAAATCCTAATTTTGCATTCCTGCTAGTTTCTTGACTTCCCTCATCCTTGTACGTGACAGCCATCGCAACATTCCTTGAGCGTGTTTGCAGTTGTTACTGTATAGTGTTCTTTGATTTGTTCTGTAGTGTTCTTCTTGGCACTTGAAATCTTACCCTAGCACTTGACATATATCCTTAGCTGCAAGCTCTGGTAATTGCCACTTACTGTATATGTGCACTTTATTGGCCCGCTTCTGGCTCCAACCTTCCTAAACACTTGCCTGGAAGTAATTCTGATGTTCTTGATTAGCTGGTTCAGGCATGTTTAATTAGGATTGGTGATAAACTGCAGGATAGTGATTGGAGACCTCTAATGTAGGTTAATGTTCATTTATAAATATACTATTGTTGATTGTTTTGTGTAATATGTACAGTAATTATGTAATTTTTAATATTTTTAATATTTAATTTGTACATAATGCATTAACTTTAAAAAAAGGCCATATTATGCCCTTTTACAAAGTCTTGACTTTGGCTACGTTCACACTGCAGGGCTTAAAGGGTTAGTTCACCCAAAAATGAAAATTAAGTCATTAATTACTCACCCCCATGCTGTACCAACCCCGTAAGACCTTCGTTCATCTTCGGAACACAAATAAAGATATTTTGATTGAATCTGAGGGCTGGATCAGTCCTAGATAGACTGCCTAAGGGACTGGCCCTTGACGGCCCAGAAAGTCATTAAAAGAAAAGGTTTAAATATTCCATGAGCCTACAGCGGCTCAACTATAACTTTATCAAGCGACGAGACTACTTTTTGTGCGAAAAAAAACCCCGTAAATAACGACTTTATTCGACTTTCCATTACTTCCTTATGGGCGCATGCGCGAGAACTGAGACGAGACCGTTCTTCTTCGACTACTTTTTGTTACCGGCTGCTCACCGCTTAGGAGTTTTACCGCCCCCTACCGTATAAGATGACGTACTGCTTGTAAACAGAACGTTTTGCGCCTCCGGCTATATCAGTACTAAGGTCTTACGGGGGTTGGTACAGCATGGGGGTGAGTAATTAATGACTTAATTTTCATTTTTGGGTGAACTAACCCTTTAATGCTCAATTTCAATTTTTTTTTTAAAATTCGATTTTTTTGCAAGGCCGTTCACATTTCCAATGGGCTCTATGCACGGCGGTATTTCCGGTGAAGGATTAAGGATGCTTGATAACTTCCGCCGATCGTAGAGTCCAATGCAATACTGAGAATTTAGATTGAGTTTTATACTCCATGGTTATAATAAAGAAACGTTAGTCACAAAAACAGATAAAACAGACACCCCTCGTTGTGTTTATGCTTCTTTTTAAAATTATATTAAATAAACATAACTATATATAAAATGACATCTAAACGTATGTACGTTTCGTTTCAAAGACGGGAGGACAGTAAATATTGAAGACTCTGCCATAATCCCATTTTCCTCGGTTCTCCTACGCTTGAATCTCCACAACCGGAAATGGACGAGCATCCTTGCGTCAAATGCGGAACTTATGCGTGCATATAGCCCATTAAATGCGACCTTTTGTGATCTCCTGTGTGAACGTGAAATGACCCAGAAGTGACCCGCATGTGCAGAAGAGTAATCAACGGTCAACGACGTCACTTGTTGTTTGCGGAATAGTTATTTTTTGCCATGTGTTGCGAGCTTTTGTTTTATTATTATTATTGCCACAGCCCATATACAAACACAGACAACAATTATTTTATCGACGGGCAAAGTTTGCACATAAATGTAAGATTTTTCCGATCCTCACCGACCTCGTCATAAAACCCGTTTAATTGATAGTGCGCGTCCTCGGCACTCCTTGCTTTGTCACCGGCGGCCGCGGTGCGGGTGCAACACTGGTGGCTGGTGTTGCCAGATAGGGTGTTTTTTCCGCTACATTTTAAGGCATGTTTACATGTGTTTTAGCCAGGTTTTCGCCTGGAAGGCTCTATAGAAATCTGGCACCCTTCTGTACGAAGTTAAACTGACAGAGTGCGCACGTTCACAGACACCAGAATAAACGTGTTCACATTAATATTCATCAGGCAGTAACACAGTATATGAACGCGTTCAGGCACAACACTGGGGAAGAGTCACGTCTGCAGCGGCCCATAACAGTGCAGAAACGCGTTGGAGTTAGCGTGTATTGACTCTGTGCACGAGAAAAATGCTAACTTCCGCCTTGAGGGTGGATGTTGGGTACTTCGGTTCCGGTTGCCGTTGTTTACATCCTACATCAGTGGACTGGCTATCTAAAGCTTAGCTATCTAAATATATTTGTCTAAAACTATGTTCGTTTGTTCATTGTCAAGTCAACCAACACAGTTTTCACCCATATTTGGGTGGAGCCAGGTGCTGCTGCATTGTGAAAAGTAAACGATATTTCACATTTTGTCACCGCACCCAAGCAGTCGCTTTACAGAGTGGAGCGTTGCGTATCCATGACAACTAGAAGGACGTTTTTAGGCTACTAATTATTTATTATATTATACCCTTTAACCAGGAGAAGCCCCTGGGTTTAGAACCTATTTTGCAAGGGAGACCTGTTTAGAAATATGTGTGAACAGCCTAATATGTGTTAAACAGCCTAACTTGATAACAAACTAACCAACGTCAGATAACCTTACTCCCTGTATGACATGTATAGTGGTTGTTAGTCTCGCGTAGCCAGACCTTCAGACTGACGGCTGAAGGTCTGGAATTCATAGCAGCTTTCTTTGGTCAAGGCCCGCCCATAAGGCCGTTAGACCGACATGTCAAACAACCAATTACAGTTCGTTTCGTTCAGCGTCATGTTTCGGGGCGTGGAAATGTCCCCACAACAACAGACCGGTGTGCAACAAGTCAGTCAGCAGTCACCGGAGGCGCTAACAACGCTCCGTGTGATTAAATTCACCCACGAACTCGCTCATGTCCATCTTATGTCCGCTTTGTCACACGAATGTAAGTTACGTCCCCGCCCCAGTGCGCTCACGCCTACTAAATAAACGCCTCACCTCCGGCGCCGCGCACTCGCTACATTCCCTTTAGCCTTTAGCACATCTAGTGGATGCATAACGCAAACCCAGTCAAACGTTTGACTCTGCAGTATCTTATGTGCCTTATAATCCAGTGTGCGCGACCTATATATGAATACTGAATCGGCCAGCTGCGATGTCAGCGTCTGTCTCATGTTTGTCCACAAACCCAGCTGATATAACCTTCGCAATTAAGTACTTCACTTGATCTTCCATAATAGATTGGAGGGGACATACAACTACGTTTAGCTGATCTTGAGAAATGCTCATTGTCACTCACATAGGCCACTCAAACACAACAGTTTTTCTTCCGCAATCACATCTGCGCTTTGTTTCCCGGCGGACCGAAAATAAACGCGACACTGACGCCCCCCGGAAATCCGATAAAATTCAACCAATCAGATGACGACTTCGACATTCCTGAAGTGTTTCCAGTTAAGTGTACCATATGCATCAGACGTTTAGCCAACGTTCCGTGGGCGTGACGTCTGAGGCTGAGACTAAGTGGTTGTCAACACTGAGATATATGACATTCTATATAGATAGTGGTTGTCAACAACATAGCCTCTGAACATCATAAACAAAACAATGGCCAACACAAACTGTTCTGGAAAATGCACTTTCTAACGCATGATTTCGCATTTTATAATGTATAGAGAGATATAACAGTTACCAAATCGCATAGCTTGAGCACGTAGCATGGCAACATTAATGTCCGAGTGATTCCACGTGTACCGCGTATTTACACGCCGTCAAATGTCCGAGCGAAACAAAACAAAATGTAGATCTACATCTGGGGAGCGATATTTATTTTTTCCTAGGATGGTAGGAGTGACGGGTAGGTTGGGGTTGAGGTAGGTCATATGCTATATATATATACACTGTGTATATATATATATATATATATATATATATATATATATAATAACGTTAAGTCAACGGTATTCATAAACACGCTGAAAAGAGATTATGCGTGTTGATAGCATGCCAAAAATACGTGATACGTGTCATACATACGCAATTTCATGAGATCAGTCTGAGCATGGATGTTGTTGTGACTTAACGTTCCCTTCAAAATTATGCAAATACTGAAAAATTTAATATTTAAAGCCCTTCTCTCTTGCTCTGGGGAGCTGGAGGAAAATCATTAGCCAGTCGATGAACATAATCGACTGTAATATTCGGCAAATGTTCAAGACATCTGGAGAAACATACATCCTCTACGTCGTCCATCAGGCTACCGGAAACTAGACACCCCATATCGGTTTCGCAGCCGGAACTAGCATATGCTAACGTGCACATAGTCCATTGGCTAGCTACAGGTGCGTGCAATGACGTGCGGGTCAGATATATGTGACCTGGCCGTTCAGATTGAAGTCGCATTTGAAAAGATCGGATACATGTTGGATTTGGACCACATACCCAAGTGGCCTGGGTCGCATTTGAAAAGATCGGATCTGTGTCGTTCAGACTGTCATGAAAAAATCAGATACAGGTCGCATAGGGGCAAAAATTAGGTCGTTTCAGACTGCAGTGTGAACGTAGCCTTTGTTTTTTCCGTCTACTAGAATAGATTTTCATGCTTGAATTTTCAAAAACTATTTAAAAAAAATGTTTACATTGTGGCAGCACCTCTCTTGCCAGTCTGTCAGTAACACTGTGTATGTTTAAGAATGGTCACGTCCTTTACCATAACATGAGTTTCAACCAATAGAACAATTAATTAATAATAATAAAAAATCTATAAAAAAAAACCTCCCGACCAGTTTTTGCAAGCCCATTCACACAAGACACATTCAAAAACAGCAAGATGGAACAGACTTGAATGAAACGGAGCAATACATATAAAACAAGTTTTTTTTTGTTGTTTCAAAAATTCATATATTGCATTAATTGCAAGCTAGCTAATAATGTTACTCAACTGAAAATTATTTTGTTGTCAGTCCTAATCTGAACACTTCCACTTGTGACTCTTGCCTCATGTTTACACACGTGATGCTTTCCAACCGCCATGGTTAATTATTCAAATTAGCCTTCTAATTGCAAATGTTATGGCTCGCTTCCACATCAGAAGATCTAAAAGTTGGGCTGCACAGTTGGTGAGATTGATATGCAGATGGTCAGTTGGACCATGACCTCCAGACGGATCAATTACACTGGACAGCCAATCTTCTCTAACACTGGTGCCAGACTCTACACTTCAAATGCCTCTCTTTGAGGCCAGGCAATTGGGGATGAGCACTGTTTTTCTATTTTCTAGACCTCTTTCGTCTAAGGGAATTTGGATTAAACTACAGGAGCCACAAGGTTTCTCTATACTGAGCTGAATCAATACAGCACAAAGAGTGTGAGAAAAGCTTCTCTCTAAAGGCGGGCATACACGGTTGCGATTATCGTCCATTTTTTGAGCTGAATTCTGACTCGTGTGACTCTTTTTTCGGGCATGGCCTATATTCAGCTATATCGTGCGTTGTTTGTCGTGCAGTGTTCGTGAAATGTACAGTCGGAAATGAGAGGTGATTAACCTCTCCTGACAGTATATTTCTCCCAACTGTATAATTTATCTCATTTAATTCCTTGTATAACTGCTTTAATTCCCCCGCTTTTCTTTTGTCTATTTTCTAAAGGTCTATGAATTGCGTGATTATTATAATTCCTTTCTATGTAAAGCTTTTGAATAACTGTTTGAATTTTCCTTGCTTTTATTTTATGATCATTTCCTCCTTCATGTAAAGCACTTTGAATTGCTATAGTGAATGAAATGTACTATATAAACAAACTTGCCTTGCCTTACACATTGAGTGATAGTAGACTGCAAAAAGATTATAATATATAATTATGGTTGACGAGCTACATCATTGATGCCAAATATAGAATTAATATAGAACTCAATCGACTATTTTACAACCGTTACAGCGGGTGTGATTTTCTATTTTAAAAGTCGTTGGCTGTCTAGTCGTAACAACATTTCCCCTCAAGACATTCATAATTTGTCATCTTTTCTTTTAAACAAATAAAGCACAATGTCCTCGTTGAGCCCCATAACTTCTGGGTTTTCAACAGCGATATCTGTGCCGCATACATAATGGACACCGTGACCCGTGACTCAACCTGAAATAAATAACTAAGCCCCCTGCAATAGGATATTGCTGTGCTGATAACTATCACAATAAATCAATATCAACACACCTCACCTCAACAAGGGTACACGATTCACGGATATTACATTTGTATTTAACTGATTACACATTGAATTATCTTTTGTATAGTACAAATAATTCCCCTTGAGAAATGGGCGAAGGTCACTGGCCATTGCTGTGGTTTTCATTTGCTATCTATTGCACATAACCAAAGAGAGTTGTTCATACATAAAAAAAAAATAATTGTTATATAATGTAAAAATAATTATTAAATAATTATATAATGTTCTGACAGAGTGTTCAACACAATCATATGCAGATGTTTGCTCATCTCTAATGCTCTTTTAGCACCATCCTTTTCTTGGTAGTCCATCGATTACTATGATGATGCTCCTTTACACAACTCATCTAATTTAGCACCCTAAACTCAGCTGAATTTATGGGATGACAGTAAAACAGCCAGGAAAAAAATGGTAGCAATTTTGATCATTTTGATACAACAGATCACTGAAAACAAACAGATGGGTATTTATTGTATAGGTGGCACATAATATATAGCATAACATGAAACCAGAAATACAATACACATATTTGTATATCTGTAATTGTATACTCTACTCTATTTTATTTTTACACTCTTCCCACCATTTTCATTTTTTACTTATCTGAAATTCAAGAGGTGTAACACATTCTAAAAGAAGATGAAAGAATCACATCTGATTAACACACACACACACACACACACACACCTTTGAAGCAAAGAGACAAAATAAATCCAATTATTGTTCACCCTGACACAGCAGCTCCAAACCTTTAGATTTCAAGACGAATTCCAAGAGATTGGGTGAGACAGACGGATGGAAAAGAAGAAAAGAGAGAGTGAAAACAGTGTCTCCCAGGATACACCACACTGTCACAATACCTTCTTGCAACATATTGGGGCATGTGGGTTTGTCATAAAGTGGTGTCATTCAACAGAGCACCTTTCACAACAGCATTTGTCACTGACTCTATCTAAAGGAAAATATTCATGAACTCATGAAACTGAATGCGTTTTAAAGGCAAAAGCAGGCAATTGCATATCGGAACAATACGCAATAACAGTTATTATTTTAAATAATATTAGTTATTTATTTTAACAGTATCATTCAATATAGGATATTTATTAGCTGATATTTAATTGTGGTTGCTTGCTTCTGCCTATTTTTAGATTACTTTGGCAATCATATAACACTTACCTAATGAGAAAGATTAGACAAAAATCAAAAGGACTTTCGTATAATAGAGCTCCCACCCAGTGTTATAGTTACTAAAATAAAATAAAGAAATTTGTTACTTGACATGAAATAAACATTAACTGTGAAATAACATAAAATATAAAAACATCTTTCACGTGTTTTATTTCAGCTTACAGCATTTCTTATTTTCATGTAGTTTAACTTGATGTACTAAATAACCAAAACTAGAGCTCAAATAAAAATGAATAAAAACTACATCAAGAAAGAAAAAAAGATGCAAACTCAAATGAAAATGGAACATATTAAAACAAAAACGAATTCAAAATATGAATAAAAACTATAAATGTATCTTAATAAAACTAAACCAATACTTGTCCCAACACTTTTATAAAAATATCCAATATAGAGACTTTCTCATAAACAATTCATCTGAAAATAATAGTATTTATATATTTCATACTTAGGATTATAACGCAAGCAAGCATGTGTTTATATATTTAGCCTTATCAGCATCAATGGCAATTACAACATCAATTTAATCTTGATAAAACATTAGTTTTTAGTTTCTAGTGCGTTTTTTTTTTTTTTAGACAAAATAGCACAGATTTATAATATTGGTCAATTAACAGGTATGACACATAATATGAACATATTTTATAGTTGTTGTTTTTTTTAACCTATAGAATTTTTTAATTCAACCACTTGAAAGCTGTACATTTCATGTCCTAACTCTGCCCTGTCAGTGTGAAAACTGAAGCCTCAAGAATTCTCTGCCAAGCACAGACAGGTGCCTGAATAAACCATCACACTAGTGACTTCGACCTAGTTTGGCTGACTTTCCAAAGTTTAGCAAGTTATTTAAATAAAATAAGGCAGTCCAAATACGCATAGGCAATTATTATCCTCCAGTAAACTTGACTAATGAGATTTTATAGAGGGCAAAATGATTTGCCTTACCCTAAAGAGCAGTTTAGCGAAAGGCTTCTTGGCTAGCTGGGCCGGGCCACACAGATTGTCATACAGGGCTGTGTTCACCATGCCTGGGTCCACTGCATTAACCGTTACAGGGTCTCCTTTGACCAGCAACTGGTCCTGCAGGTGGTAGGAGAACAGCAGCAGGGCCAGTTTACTCTGGGCATATGCACCATGTGCACTATAACACATCCTGAGGAAGAGAGACAATGGGAGAAAAAAGAAAGAGGCCTTGAGCATAGTTATGCAGCTATTTTGGTGTCAACAGCCATTAATGTGTTGTTTACTGTAATTTGTGTTTGACAACTCATTTTGACAAGAGTGTGCTTGTTGATGTGTTGTTGCTTCAAGTCAGATCATTCAGAACAGCAGTCAACGTTAGTATTTTTTTAATTATTTTCATTTCATATTAAAGTTTTAGTAATTTATGTGTTATGTGCTTTTTGTCAGGTTTTTTTTATTTCTATATAGCTATTTTTTTCCATCTAATATTTTTGTTTATTTTATTTCAGCTCTTCATTACAGCGAAACATTTTTTTTTATAATTTTAATTTTAATCATCAATAATGACTGAAAATTGGAATTTGGGCATAACAACTTTATAATGAACCGAATGGACATTTAGTTTCAAATAGGCTACAAATGAAGGGCATTTAACAGTTTAAGTGCATGGTAGATGATGGAAAATATAATTTAAATGTAAAAACTTGTAAATGAGCAATTTTACAGTTAAATAGCCAATATTCATTAAAGAAAACAAAAATCAAAAAATAATAAACAAATGCTGCGTCCCAATTCGCTTACTTATACTACGCACTAAAAGTATGTAGTATTTTTGTGAAGAAAAAGTACGTACTTTTGAGTGTGTAGCAAAAGATTAGGCAAGCTTTGGGACATACTATCACGTCATCTTTAACGGACAGATCTGTCGCGTGCTGCGTGCATCCTGTCACCGTAAACTGCCCTGTCAATCATCTTGTCACAGTTAAAATCCTCCATTCTATCTAATTTGATTTCCTACCGTTTCGGAGCACGTTCATCTGCCAGTCGTGTCTTTCATGCGGACACTCTCCTCGCGTTTGCAATTTGAATATAATGATGCATTTAAAAAGTAATGGCTAAACACATCTTTACAAAAGTTCACAATGCTGCTGCATATGCAATATAATGTGGACAACATTGAATAAATTAATTTTTGTCAGGTTAGATACTGATAATTAATCACTCAAAGCTCTTTATCTAAACCTCTCTACACAGCCGCGGGACTCGCGTCCTCTGTGTCTGTAGTTTATTTTTATTTTTTTTAACACTTTACTCGTGTTTGTAGTTTTAACTGAATCCTCGTCCACCGCGCAATGATTTGTGGGCAATATCAGCCGTTAGAGTGTCCATCCATCTACACTTAGGATTCTGACCGGCTATAGTAGACCATCCGGGTATCTTTGAAACACTCATTTCAACATACTACGATTTGGGATGTACTAATTCTATTTTCGAATATTATTTAGGACGGATAGTATGCTAATTGGGACACAGTTAAAATAAACATGACAACGATGTACTAAAAACAGATGACAACCTTGTCAAAACGATCCACGCGGATCTGCGAAAATTAGCAAAAAGGCTCGACTTTACATGCCAGGCCAGTAGTTGGCGATGTCACTTTGACAAAAAACACCCTGTGAACACGTAATACGCATGTGTGAACATGTAATATGCGTATGATGTCACTGTTTACACAAATTCAGATTTTTGTTGTTTACCTGGAGATAAAGTCATAGTTTTCAAAACCTTGCACTTCGTGCAATCACATAATCATTAAATCTCAACTTGTAAAAAGCCTTCACATTCTCATAGAGCTCGTAAAATATTAATCTGGGAATTTTCTTAGAGCTCCAACTTGTACCACGTGACCGCTGCAGATTCATTTAGGCATTGATAGCTTTATTTTTTCCTTTTCTAAGGCATTTCTAAAGCTACTTAAATGTCCTAATTTAACTAAGGCCAACTCCTGGCTGAATCTAGGTATGTCCTGTCTGTGAAACCAGGCCAATATGTATTTTAACTAAGGGTTGACCGATTATCAGGCTGGCCGATTATTGGCGCCGATACTGAGCATTTTTATGGTTATCGTATCGGCCATTTTCAAAACCGATTTGCCGATCAAATAATTTTATTTTGAAATGCGATATATTTGGCTCTAACGCAGCCACCTCTGTCGGAACTCGCCACTCTGTAGACTAGACTTATGTCCTTATGTTGCTGACTGGAGCTGCTTCACTGATCACACATCAGTTGTCTTTCAAAGTTAAGGCAGCAGCAGATTTAGCTGAAGAAGCAATACACTAAATTTTATACACTGAAAACAGACGGAATCACAGAATTCATTCATAAAAACATAATTTACTGTATAGAGCGGAATATCACATAAATAAATAAAAAGCAGGTCAGTACAATCAAACCGTAAAAAGACTATTTAAATGAATCCTGCGTATCTCTAAATGAATGGCGCAGATGCGTGATTTCATTTACCCCACCCACCCACACGCAGACACACACACACACGTGACGCTTGCGCTGTTTTCAGCCTCAGCAGCATCATTATATGAGGACATGATTGCATAAACATCATAGAGTCGCTTAGTCACGTTGAAGCATTGCTTTTTGCAATGCTTCAACTGAGAAAAGTTATCGTCATATCATAGACAAATGGAAACACAAAGATCTCCACGGCAACCCGTCAAAATAAAAGTTCAGTTTTTCACAAAGCCTTAAAAATTTAATTTTTGTTAAACGTACAGTATGCAATTTTTGGCCACCAGGGGTCACTCATTTAAAATAATAACAAAAGATGTACTTTGATGACGTCGGGAAAGAGCGTGGGCTCACGGGAGTTGTTGTCGCTATCAACGACAACCAGCTCAGGTCATGGCATTACGTCATCGTTTCACAAAATATACGGATATACGGCATATCTCTGTAGTTTTAGCTTGTCGAGAAGCTTTAAATACAACCCCAATGTTTACCTGCGTCATGCTTTTTCTCCTGTCCCAAACCCTTCTCGGGTCATATTTTTCACCCGTACGTTTGAGCTTTACTGAGCTGTCTGTAGCAGCAGAACGTGCAGGCAAAGCGTAATCGTGGTCCATAACTATAATACAGACGAATATATTTATATTACGCCCCTTTAATGAATTACCTATTTAGAACATTTTTCATATATAGGGCGCCCCGGATTATAAGGCACATAAGATACTGCAGTCAAACGTTTGACTGGGTTTGCGTTATGCATCCACTATGTGCTAAGGCTAAAGGGAATGTAGTGAGTGCGCGGCGCCAGATGTGAGGCGTTTATTTAGTAAGCATGGCACGTAACTGTCGCAGCCTGACTCATATGAGTATTCAATGTGCGCGGCTCGCTGATTTGAATGAGACGACCCAGTTACTGTGAACTGGGAGCGCTTTATGCATTCTGTGATGCGTGAGCAGCACCGGGGACAGTGTGTCTGTTAAGAGTGAGCGCTCGTGAGCGGGCACGTGATTTACACACATAATAATACGTACAACTTTTTTTTCTTCGTCATTTTCTTTGCTTTATTGGCGGTAGTCCAGTGTTCCCCTTTGTGTTTGGCGGGTTTCGCCGGGTTCCGCGGGAAGTTAGAGAAAATAGAGGAGTCAAAGGTTATATGACACCATAGACGGGCGACGAAACGGAAATAAAGAAACGTCCCGTGTCTTCGAATTAAACTATAAATTTCTCCGTAGTTTAAAGTTGGTGGAAACTGTCGGAATAATGTAAGTACACATCTAATAGAAATATACAGTTATTTTTGCTATTTTTAAAGCAGAAAAAAATACATATTGTGGCTTTAAACTGTAAATAAATTAAATAAGTTTAATATGAATTAATTAGAAATACTTTTTAATTACTAAATTTTTATTTAAACATTAAAATAGAGTCTTTAAGTTTTACAAAATGTTTACAGAATGCTGCTGGGTGCTCCCTGCACTTTTTTTTTTTTTTTTTACAAGTTATTATTATTAATAAGAGTTCTCAGAGATATCTCAAAGATATGTTTAAAATCATTTAATTTTGACATTAATTTACAGTTTTACACCAGACATAGGCTATAATATATATATATATATATATATATATCGGTCTATTTGATGTAATAATCGGTATCGGCATCGGCCCTGAAAATCGGTCGACCCCTAATTTTAACATTTAACATTCGTTCAACTGCACATCAGTTTTAGTTGTGGTATTAAAATTAGCATCAAGAATCATGAAATTTTGCCAGCATTGGTGCCTAATTGCTATGTTCACATTAAAAAAACATAAATTTATTAGAAAATCTTGTCTTTCTATGCATGTTTCGAAGTCCTAGAATGCCACAGAGTAAAGAATCCATGTCTAATCATTTGGCTGCTTCATTTATCCGTTATTTATACCAGCAGATGTCTTTGCGCCCACCCCTTCATCTCTCACCTTGAAGGACATATTTATTAGGAATCTTCTGTGCCAACCCACAGCATGAGCCAACCACACACACTTAACATACAGCGTGACAAGAACTCACCATCAGATGCAAGCGGGCACCTTGTTTTCTGTTTTAGATTTGTTGTTTGTCAGTATTTATTGTCACACTCATAACCGCCCCATTTCTGCCTCCCAGGAGGCTTTGCAGAATTCAGTCAATCAATAAACAGTGCTCTGAATCACACTGTATGTTATAGTGACTGTGACCTTGAATAGTAGCAGTACACGACTGCAGTAACGGATGAGGACTCAAGATTGAAAGCAATAAAAGCAGTCTTGAAAAAAATAGGTTAGAACAGTGGCAATATTTTGAGAAATAAATAGGACAGTATGGACTGATCTGCACAACAGGAAGATCTGTGTTTTTTATGAGACACATATTTTTGCCTTTTAAGAATGTTAGGGATGCACCAATATTAAAATTCCGGCTAATACAGACGAGTCAATATTATTTCCCCTGATAAATGTTTAAATACGCTATACTTGGTTATATATTGTTACAATTCAATATTTTATATTCTATAGTTTTTTTGTCTAAATAAACTAAAAGCAATTATGTAGGCATCACAACATTATACCGTATGAACGGACATTCAGTTTGAGATCTGCTAAAAATTGAACATTTAACAGTTTAATCAGGGGTTCTCAAA